TATTATTTCCTTTGCTACTACTGCTACTATCATTTATTCTGCTACTGCTACTACTACAACTTCTACTACTGCTACTACTTCTATTACTATTACTAGTTCTATTACTACAACTTTACTTCTACTACTACTACTACACAACTTCTACACTACTACTACTTCTACTACTACTACTACACCTTCTACTACTACTACTTTTCCTACTATTACTACAACTTCTACTACTACAACTTCTACTACTACTACTTCTACTGCTACTACAACTTCTTCTACATTACTACTACTTCTACTACTACTACTACACCTTCTACTACTACTACTTTTTATACTATTACTACAACTTCTACTACTACAACTTCTTCTTCTACTACTACAACTTCTTCTACACTACTACTACTTCTACTACTACAACTTCTACTACTACTACAACTTCTACTATTACTACAACTTCTTCTACACTACTAAAACTTCTACTATTACTACAACTTCTTCTACTACTACAACAACTTCTACTACTACTACAACTTCTACTACTACTACTACTTCTACAACTTCTTCTACTACTACTACTACTACTACAACTTCTACTACTACAACTTCTTCTACTACTATTACAACTTCTTCTACTACTAGAACTTCTACTACTACAACTTCTTCTACTACTACTACCACTTCTACTACTACCACAACTTCTACTACTACTACTTCTACAACTTCAACTACTACAACTTCTACTACTACTACAACTTCTACTGCTACTTCAACTACTACACTTCTTCTACTACTACTACTTCTACTACAACTACAACTTCTACTGCTACTAGTTCTACTACTGCTACTACTACTACCACAACTTCTACTACTACAATTTCTACTATTACTATTATTTCTACTACTAGTAGCACCACTACAACCATCATAACAACTTCTACAACAACAACAACCATAGTCCTCCAATCAACAATACAAAAAAATAAATAAAAAAATAAAAGAATAAAAAGAATAAAAAATAAAAGATGCAAAACAGCCTCTTCCCACGAGATAAGATGCTCAGCCTCTCATCTCACGCTCAAAGTGGTAGAAGAGGAAGGGGAAATTGGCAAAATAGGTTTTAGGCCTATTCTATCGTCAGCCTTGCCTGGTGCCTGGATTTCTGGGATGTTGTGTGTTTGTTTGTTTGGGTTAGCGCATATGTGTGTGTTTGTTTTAGAGCAGTGTGTGTTTGTGTGGTTAGTGTATGTGTGTGTGTCTGTTCAGTGTGTGTGTGGGTTAGTGTATGTGTGTCTGTTTTAGAGCAGTGTGTGTTTGTGTGGGTTAGTGTATGTGTGTGTGTTTGGGTTAGTGCGTATATGTATGTTTGTTTTGTGTTTTTGTTTGGGCTAGTGCGCGTATGTTTTTTTTTTTTTTTTTTTTTTTTGGGGGTAGCGCGTGTGTTTGTTTGTTTTTAATTTAGAACGGTGTATATTTATTTGTTTTGTATGTTTGTTTGTGGCTGTGTTTATTTTAAAGCATTTTGTGTTTGTTTGTTTTTTGTATCTCTATGTTATTGTGTTTTGGGATCGTGTTTGTGTATGTGTTTGTGCTCTTATTTGGTATTGTGTATAATGTGAATTGTTATTCTGTGGCGTTGAATGTATCAGTATATCAATATCTGTTTGTTTATCTTACCATCATCATCAGCATTATCATTATTTTAGTAATCATCACTATCATCGTCACATCATCAATATCAGCCTTATCATTATCATAGAAGTCATCATTATTATCATCATCGTCATCTTGTGAGTATCAGTATCATCCTTGCCATTGATATTATCATCATTTCTGTCATAATCGCCATCATCGTCGTCATCATCATCAACATCGCTACAGCAGCATCATAATAACCATCATTATTCTTGTTCCTCTTTCTTTATTACTATTCTTCATGTTTATTGTCTTCTCCACACCATTCCCTCTTCCTCGCCTTCTCGCCTTTATGCTGCTTCCACTTCAACAATCTTTTTTATTTATTTATTATTTCTTTTTTTTCTAGTTTAGTTTAGTTTATGCGAATGAGATCAATTCTTTGTGGTTACCCCTGGCAATACCCTCCTCTTAATATGTCTCAAAATAGGAGACAAAGTTTCCTTCTGCAGCCAATCCGACCGTTCACGCCTTGTCACAGTCATATCTGAGTCATAAGCTCGTGCATTCTTTACCCTGACTGACTCTGCTGACAAACCCTGTCCGACCATATCGACCCCTTCCCCGCCAAGGTCAGGAGTATTGGCGTCTTGGCCACCCTGCCGAACTCTGTCGCTGCATTTTTATGGCAGTTCAGATTGCACAATCACGTACGCTTGTCCATTGCGATGGCTTCTGTAAATGCACTTTCTGGAGGCTGCCCAACCTACAAGTTCGAGTCTGAGGTGGAAGTTCTCAGATGAAAACTTGAGCTCGCACGAGATTTTTCTCTCGCTCCTTACCCTAACGTTGTCCGCTCCGCCCCCTCCCTTCTTTCCAAGACGTCTCGGCATCTCCCCCATTATCTCTTCCCCTTACCCCTTAGCATCCCAGCTGTACTCCCTCTCTTTCCCAGTCGAGTTCTTTTTGCCTTTCTAAATCCAGATACTCCAATCTCTACCACTTCCCCGGTTCCTGAACTTCTTTCTTCTCACTTTACTTGTCGCACCAGGCTGTCTAAACGCTCCACTCCATCTTCTCCTATTACATTTTCTCGTACACCCACGTCCTCCTCTGCTCCTCGGACGTCTGTCACCTCTTCTCCTCCTCGCAAGAAAACTTAGTTCCCCAGACCTTCCCACGCCGCGCCCTTCCAAAAACTTCCTAAACCCAAGAGAGCACTCCTCTCCCTCGTCCACCCTCCAGTCTCTCTCCTCCCACTCCCTCGACACTCAGAGTGATTGCCGACATCCATCCTCATCCCCTGCATGTTCCCCCTACGCTTCCTCCTCCCACTTTCTCTCGGGACGCCCCATCCTCCCCTTCTCCATCGTCACCGCCACCCCATCCTCTCCCCATCATTCCTTCTGCTTCCTCCTGGATGCTGACGTGACCCCCTTTTGTCACAAGTGTCCTTCTCCGGGTTCATCCCCTCTTGGCGTTCTGCCTTATCCTCCACCTTCTTCCCCTGACCCCTTCCGTATTCTCTTCTTCTCATCCTCTCTCCATTCCGTTCTTCTCTTATTTCTCCGACACCTATTACTCGTTGACAACTTCCTAATGGTTCCTCTTTCCCGCACATTCTGCTTTCCTGCCCACGGCTTACTACAGCCCGTGTCTCTGCCTTTTCCTTCCTCGTCCTCTCTTCCCCCAACCTGTTAGACATCCTCACGGAATCTCCCACTTTTTCCGAACTTTTTTCCCTTCCATAAACGGATAGGTGCCCTTCATTTGATCTAATCGCCCTTGGCCCTTAACCCCTTCCCCCTTTCGTCCCATTTACTCCCCCTCCTTACTCCTTTCACTACCATGCTACCCTAAAGTGCTGTACAATCTTTATCTAACACATTTTGTTCGAATCATTAACTCTTTTTCGTCATTTTCGCCTTCGTTTTAGTCAATAACCAATAAGGATAATCATATTTATGAGGATATTAATGGTCATAAGAATAATAATATTGGTTAAGATAATAGTGTCAGTGACAGAAATAACGAAAATGATGATGAAATGATGACAATGATAAATCCCGAAGACAGATAACGTGAAATCCTGAGCAGATGTACACGCGCGGGTTGGGTACGATTCGGAAAAAAACACGGATGATAAAAATGATTAAAACGCTTAAATTGATAAAGACAGTTACAATTTACATATACATGTAAGTAAAAATAACCCCCCCCCACGCAGAGCTGCCTCGTACTCCAACGCGCTCACGCAACGTTTTAAATTTCCTAAAGTTTTCAGCCCACGAGGCATTCGCCGCCGACGTCCTCAGCTGTTGACGCGGCAGAGGATTCTAGATAATCAATCGTGTACGTGGCCTCCTCGGGCTGAGGCGCTTGGCTTCTGTCCTTCCCTTCGCTGGTGCTTTGTCTAAATGCACACACGTATACATGCATTCACGCGCACACTCACGCACGCACACATGCACTCACTCACTACACACGTACTCATTCACAAACGCACGCACTCACTCACACACACACACTCACATATCAATCTACCTGTCAGTCTATTCTCTACTTCATCTCAATTACCTATTTTTTTTTTTTTTTTTTCTTTCTCTCCTTTTTTAAGATTATTGTACTCGACGTGAGAAGGGAACGGCGCGCGTCTAATTAAATTCCTTGCTGCAAAATACGAATAAAATTCTCACATCTCGAGAAAATGGAATATCACGTCTCAGGTGACGTTAAGATATTGGAACAACGTTTTATTTGCGCGACGTTTGTGGCAGACGCAATAAAACTGTCTTTCTTCGTAGGAATATTCTGGAATGGTAATTTCTATGATGGTATGTCTCTCTCGCATGTTCTGCAATGGTAATTTCTATAATGGTACATCTCATTCGCATGTATGTAATGATGGTATGTCTCTCTCGCATGTTCTGCAATGGTAATTTCTATAATGGTACATCTCATTCGCATGTATGTATTGATATTGTGTAAGTGTGTATGTATTGTGTGTCTCTGCTGTGTGTGTATGTGTGTGTGTGTGTGTGTGTTGTGTGTGTGTGTGTGTGTGTGTGTGTGTGTGTGTGTGTGTGTGTGTGTGTGTGTGGTGCGTGTGTGTGTGTGTCTGTGTGTGTTTGTCTGTCTATATTTCTATCTCTCTATCTCTTTTCTTCCTTTAACTCCATCCGTCCATCTCCCTGACTCTCTTCGTCTCTCCCACTCTCTGCTTGTCCCGTCTCCCCTTCCCTCCGTGAGAGGGAAAGGGACGGGACGACAGCGCAAAGCAGGGCGCCAGCTGGTCCGTCTCAGGCGCGGTGGAGACTCGGCTTTCTGTGATAAAAGCTACGATTCCGCCGCCGCCTCGCACTAGTCTCTCGCGCGATTTCGGGACAAACGGAGCCGCCACGATGGCCCTCTCGCGGCGGAGACTCTGGCCGGCCCTCGTGGCCTTCGTCGCCAGCATCACCATCGAGCCGATGCTCTTCGCCAGGAACGTCGCCCTGTACGGCATGAGCGTCATCCGGGAGAACCTGAAGCTCGACCGCTTCTGTCGGTTGACGCTGAACCGCACGCAGGACGAGTGCGCGCACATGAACGACGGCGAGCACGACGACCTGCAGGTGGCGGTGCAGAAGCTGGACAACGCCTTCATCCTGTTCGAGAGCCTCGTGGGCTCGCTGGTGCCCATCCTGCTGGTCGTGTTCATCGCCTCGTGGAGCGACCGCCGCGGCAGGAAGGTCCCCCTCGTGATCTCGCTCAGCGGCAGCGCCCTCTACGCCGCCGTGTACCTGCTTGAAGCCGTGAACCCGTCGTGGCCGCCCGAGGTGCTGCTGCTGGCGTCCTTCCTGCAGAGCGTGGGCGGCGGCTGGGTGCTCTTCTTCATGGCCGCCTACAGCTACATCGCCGACCACTCGAGCGGCGAGTCCCGCACGCTGCGCCTGACCGTCATGAGCGCCATCTGGCAGCTGGGCGGCCCGGCCGGCACCGCCCTCGCCGCCTGGCTCTTCGACGTGGGCGGCTACGCATGGGTGTTCGGGCTCAGCCTGGCGCTGTACGTGCTGTGCCTGCTGTACACACTGCTCGTGGTGCGGGACAAGGCGCCCGGGCCGGCGGAGGGGCGGCCGCGGGCGCAGGCGGGGGGCGGCGGCCCTTGCGACGTGCGCAACATCCTGGATCTGTTCCGCGCCTGCTTCAGGAGGCGGCCGGGGCGTGGGCGCCTGCACCTGCTGCTGGCCATGACGTTCATGCTGGGCGCCTACAGCTCCGGCGCCCACAACATGTACCTGTGGACGCGGCGGGTGCTCGGCTGGGGCTCCGACCAGTACAGCCTGTACTCCACCGTGAACCAGCTGTGCCAGCAGGGCGTCATGCTCCTGACGGCGCCCCTGCTGCGCCGTCTCAGGGTCCACGACTGCGTGGTGGGCGCGGGGGCGGCGCTGGTCAACATGCGCGCAGCTCACGACCTTCGGCCTGACACGACGCCCGCCAGGGCTGGGTCCTGTACGCCTTCGTGCTCCTGCCGACCGGCCTCGTCGGCGTCACCATCAGGGCCGTCCTCTCGAAGGTGCGCGAGATATATTTATAATATATATATATATATATATATATATATATATATATATATATATATATATATATATTATATATATATATATACTATATACATATATATAATATATAATATATATATATATAATATATAGATAGTATATATATATAAATATATATTATGATATATATATATATACATACATAATACTATGTACACATACGATATATATGTACAGATACATATAATAATAAAATGTATATATATATATATACATATTTACACTGTACATACATACACCACACCCACACACAACACACACACACACACACACACACACACACACACACACACACATATGTATATTATATATATATCTATACTATGTATATATATATATATATAGTATATGTGTGTGTGTGTGTGTGTGTGTGTGTGTGTGTGGTGTGTGTGTGTATATTTAAATATATGTATATCTAATAATATGTATTTACAATATATTATATATATTATATATATATATTCTTATATATACATATATATATATTATATATATAATATATATATATATATATATATATATATATATAATATATATATATATATATATATGTATTATATTATATTAATTCATAATACAGGGACAGCACACACACACACACACGAGCGACGAACACACACACACCCGCACACATACCACACACGCACACACACAGGCACACACACAGAAGCGGGACACACACACACAGGACACAGCACACAAACACAGCAGACACAACGCATATAATATATATATTATATAATCCTATATATATATAATAATATATATATTATATATATTATATATAAGTTCCTTATAGATTATTGTATAAATATTTTATTTATTATATATATATTTTATGTATTATTAGGTGAGTAGTATGATATATATATAGTATTATAGTATATTCCTATATGATGTATGATATATAGTATATATATATATATATATATATGTATATATATATATAGTATATAGTACTAATAGTATATGACTATATATATATGTAAGCTATACATGTAGCATATATTACATATTATATAAAATCTATCTATCTATCTACTATTCTATATGTATTATAGTGTACATACAGCACACCATAGATATATAGCATTTATTAATATGCGGTGTGTGTGTGTGTCGTATACTATAACCTGAATAATAGGTAGGTTACTCCAGACAGTTCACTCTACCACACACACACCATCACACACACACATCACATTCCGTCTCCTGTCTGCACACACACACATCGCAACAGAAAGAGTAAAATAGATGAGAGAGAGAGAGAAGGAGAAGAGAGAGAGAGATGAGAGGAGAGATCGAGAGGAGATGATGAGAGGAAGAGATGAGTATGATAGAGAGAATACGATGTAGGATGATGAGAGAGCAGAGAGCTAATAAGAATAAAAAGATGAAAAGAAAAATTAAGGAAAGACATCGAGAAAGAGAAGTAAAGGGGATAATGAGAAAGGATAGATAAATATATTAATAAATAACAAAATTGATAAGATCTGGGAGAATATACTAAGAATTATGGGTTGATTATTATATATATGCGATATATATGGAGTGATGACTTTATTAAAACGATAGTCTAATCCAAATTATTCCCTTAGTATCTTTGAGAAGGATGAGAAATGTGAATGTTTTATATGCCTCTATATCAGTCGATTTGCCTTATTAATCGCTTTAGGCGATGATGTAACTTAATATATGTGTAGTGTGATGATATGATTAAGGTTAGAGTTAGATTCTGATGTTGAATAGATGCTATTAGTAGATGATATGAGATTGAGAGAGGGTGAAGATATGTATAGTAGATGCGAGTAGATTGACGAGAGCAGAGGACTTGATGATGTAGAGTGAGTAGAGAGTAGATGCGTAGAGGAGAAGGAGAGAGAAGGCGGTGGAGAGAAAGGGAGAGAGAGAAGGGTAGAGAGAGGTAGCGGTAGGAGAGGAGCGAGGAGAGGAGAGAGCGAGCGAGAGAGCGAGAGAGCGAGAGAGCGAGAGCGAGCGAGAGAGCGATAGAGAGTAGAGCGAGCGAGAGCGAGATGAGGAGAGAGGAGAGCGAGAGAGCGAGAGAGCGAGAGAGCGAGAGAGCGAGAGAGAGAGAGAGAGAGAGAGAGAGAGAGAGAGAGAGAGAGAGAGAGAGGAGAGAAGAGAGAGAGAGAGAGAGAGAGAGAGAGAGAGAGCTGATTTGTTAAAAGTTATTTACAGAACTGTAAAAAGTCAGGGTAAGATGCTACAGCGTCTATCCAAACTGGATGTGTTTATATTTATGTAAAGGGATGTTAATTAAACATTAGTTCTACGTGCCTTGAAGGGCTGTGCCATTATGCTTATATTATTCACATATCATCTAGTTGGTAAAAATACCTTTTATATCCCTAATCATATCGAAAACAAGACCAATGTCAATGATAAAATTAATATAATCAATAAGTGCTGGTCTCTGGACAGTGCTCTTTGATCGATAGGATGCAGTAATGTGTAAGATTATGCGCCTTGTACATTTAGCAGTGGTGATACATAACCGGCTTTACCTCCAAATCTCTATCCTGTACATAATATAAAGAGAATTGATATCCCATGCCTAGCCTAGTTAGCGTATCCTGCTGTCTACGTAACAGTCCATTATAGACTTTATATGGTTTGTCAGCATCACAGGTCCCTACAATACAATCTTTCTGCCAGATGGTACCATGTCCACTTTTCTTCAGGTTTTTGGTGGTCCACACCTGGGCCTCATAATCTCGAAGACAGCTGATTACTTTTTTTTTTTTTTTTTTTTATTTGAATGACATATAGCGGTTTTGGATAATATGGGTATTCACGGGGAAGTGCTAGTTTTGCTAACTGATCTACCTTGTCACATGTTGATATTCCTAGATGAGTAGGTATCCAGTACAATGACACTTGTATACCCTGCTCTGACAGGCTAGCAATTTGGTCAAGAGTATCGATAGTTACCATGTTTTCTGGACTAAATGCTGTGAGTCTATAGAGTGCACCCTGGCTGCAAGAGAAGGCAGCTAGGTGTCGCTGCTGTTCAATACCTTTTTTGATAGCATGGTATACTGCTACTGAAGAGCAATGTCAGGAGTTAGTACACCAATCCTTGCTGCTCCACGAGGGTCAGTAGAAGCATCACAGTTGATTACAAGTGGGGGGGGTCAACGAGGGGGATGGAGAATTTCATCTACATATTTCAGGTAATGGTCTTTTAACTCACGGATTTAAGTCACGGATTTTGGCCCTGTTGATTTATCAATATGAACATTAACATGTGATATATGCCATGGTGAAGTAAGTGCTGCTTCTGGGATGTTGATAAAAGCATTGTTCCACACACTGAAGCTGAGAATAGTCTGGGCAGTTTTGGCCTTCCATTCTAAATAGGACTTAGATTGAGATTGGAGTATCGAGGTGCCAAGGCTTTCTTTGCAGGAGCCATCACTGTTAACCTCTGTAGGTGTGGGAATTCCCCACATCATTAAGACGAGGGGCTGGGAGTCGTGGAGTCCATCGATTCTGCCCAGAAATACAATCTCTCTTCCCGCGTTTGAGTCATTGTCTCATTTGTCATCGATCACTTCTGATGGAATAGTATTTGAAAAATACCGTCTTCTCGTAAAGGGATTAACAATATTAGGTCTGTCATTTCAACAGATTTTTTTGAACCATCGGTTATCACTTGACCGTTTCCAAGGCCCACTGTACGTTGAGGATGCCGTTGCTCACAAACCTCCTTTACTAGAACTGCGATTGCTGTACCATCTGTTGCTGCATCATGAACATCATCTGCTCCATCTGCTTGAGAAACATTTGTAAAAGATCCTTCATTTCACTGTTTGACTCTTGCTTGTCCTGCTGCAGTGAAGGAGGGATGAGCTGGAGCTGGTGCTGGTATCGGTGCTACAGTGGGTACTGGAGTAAGAGCTGAAGCTGATGCTACAGCTGGTGCTGGAGTGGGTGCTGCAGCTAGCTTTAGTGTTACGGCTGTTGGTGTGGCCGGTGCCAAGGCTTTCTTTGCAGGAGCCATCACTGTTAATCTCTGCAGGTGTGGGAACTCCCCCCCCCCATCATTGAGACAAGGGGCTGGGAAGGATATCTTGGGGAAGGGGCTGCCTGCTTTCTTTGATTATTTGGTTTCCTATCCTTTGAATAGTAGGCGCATAATGGAGAATTGGCATTATGCTCCTGACGTCAGTTGATTTTACCTTCGGAAATCTTTTCAGCACACTGAGCTTTCGTGAAGAAGTGCGCAATACCGGCACCGCGGTGCGTTTCGTGGACACGCACGTACTCCATGTCCCTATTTTGAACAATGAGAGCTAAACGGGGTCAGGGATTTGAGTACGGGCTCGACCATTATAATAATTTTGTTGATTACCTCCCCCTCGTATGTTATGATGACTTTCTGGGTCATCAATCCTTTAAATTTCATGTGTTTGGCATGTATGACGTGTTCATTATACAAAGCCATTTCTTGTTTCGATTTCCCTTGGGACATCAAACACAATGACGTTCGTACATTTCCCTTTCCAAAAGACCTTAGCTTGTTCTAGCACTTCGCCACCTACACCGGCATTTGTTATATGGGCAAGAATTTGTTCCTTCTTGCACCTGGCAAATATTTTTCCTTCCAATTTTCAGTTTAATTAATCCCTTTGTCTTGTTTATAAGGGTCCAATTTTAGGGCCTGGGATACTCAACGATATTTGTCCCCGTGTGTTCAAAGCTTAGCGTCCGGTTTGAAAGGCGCGCACAGGTGTCCAGGGGGCGTAATTTCCACAGAGGCCTTTTTCTTTGTCGGTTCCTGTGGAAGGCCATTGATGTCTTCTTTACGGAGGAGACTATATCTACTCTCAGTTTCCATGGGCGTGTCTGTGGACATTGTCCTGTTTGTGGGCGGGGTCGTTCTTCAAAGATACAGAGTAAACACAGCCGCACACACGCGTCTTCACAGCACATCTGTGAACGTGTGTATTTTTTCACTTCATTTTTGCTCACTATGTTATTTGGATCACTTTACAATCAAGCCAAATGATTGTGAATATCATCGCGCACTGGAGTAATGTAGAACTGGCAGGTCTGTGAACAACTGATTGTCAAAGTAACACAAATCCCGTAAGGACTGGTCAAGGTCACGAGAGGTCACGCAGCACGTCTGTACACTATGGTGACAAGATAATAATTGGAGAGAGAGAGAGAGAGAGAGAGAGAGAGAGAGAGAGAGAGAGAGAGAGAGAGAGAGAAGGAGAGAGAGAGAGAGAGAGAGAGAGCAAACGTACATCCATACGTGCATATCTACATGAGTTTTTGCATGTAGATATGCACGCATGTATGTCCGTTTGCATTAGTGAGTGCGGAAATACATGCATGCAATACAGGCAGTAGTTTAGAGACTAATAACAAGGGATCAGATGAATAGACGACGCAAATAAAAAGAAGCTTAGCGCGAAGCAGAACAAAGACATAGATCCTGAGGTCTACCATGACGCTGTACAAGGAGAGAGAAATCCCGCCAAATTATAAGCGAAATGAAAGGCTCAGGAACAAGAAGGTCGTTTATGAGTGTCGGACCGTTTTTTCATGGAACTGAATTTTTTCTTTATTATTATGTAGGTATGGCATTTGATTTTTATTCGGATTATTATGTATATGATTATCTGCAAGATAGTCCTTTATTTAGCTTATTAAGTAGATATGGTGTTCGATTTTGTATTTGACTTCATTATTTATACGACACTCCTTTATTTGGCGTATCATGTAGGTATGATTTATGATTTTTTATCAGAAAATTCTTTATATGGCTTATTATGTACGCATAGTATATGACTATTTATAAGACGTATATTCACTAATAATTACAGTTTACAATTGCCTACATCTACCTCCCTACTTCATAATTCCCACACATAACCATAAAACTCCAACATAATTCTCATCCTTACTTTCCTCAGGAATGATTTTGTGTCGTCCATGTTGGCAATCCTAGAGATCTCCTAATGTTGTTTTCACGTGCCGACAGAGGTACAATTGCCCAATGTAACACTCTACCTTCCTTTCCTCAGCATTGTTCGAGAGACGAGGTGGGTTGTGTGTTCTCCATGTTTGCAATCCTGGAAATCTTTTGGCGTTATTTTAGTGTATAATAATGCAATTGCCTGCAACAACTCACCCTCTTACCATGATTATCATAACTCCAACTCTTAAGGATAACATTCCCTCTCCTCAGCTATGTTCCGGGGACGAGGTGGGTCGTGTGTTCTCCATGCTGGCAATCCT